GTTTTATAAATGAGACCCCTGGAATGTATATAAGCCTGCCAATACTGATGCCAAGTTTTTTGCATTCTGTTCAGTAATGTTTATGGTGTTTAGTGTAACTGTTGTTGCTTGTCTATAATGTGTCAAAGACACTTTTGCTGGAGGATTTGTAGGAATTGGTAGTCTCATGACAATATTGTGAGTGAGTGATTTTTGGTGGCTTGTAATGCCTGTTTTGATAGGACAGGTGAAGATTGACAGGAAAAGGAGGAGAGCGAGAGGGGACGACATGCAGCAAAGGGTTGCAGGTTGGAATCGAACCCGGGCCGCTGTGGTGAGGACTCAGCCTACGGCCCTTATACATATCAGAGCTTTAAGTCTCACCTGTTTGACCATCTCATCCCTGTCACGTGGGCGGAAGCTGCGTGGTTCTCCGTTGGCATCTAGGATGTAGGAACACCTGGAGGAAGAAAATAGTGAGAGAGGAAAAATACATCTTTTTTTCTGTCTCTTGCATCCAGACCTTTTTTGCCTCCATTCATTTACATGACCTCCCACGTCACTCACTTCTTCAGCATGATCTCAGAGGCTCCTTTGCAGTAGAGGCGGAAGGAACCGTCAGGCAGGTTGATCACTGTACTCATGGATTTACGCACTGAGTTGAACGTATACACCTGAGAAAGAGAGAGAGGGAAGGACAGATGTATGATTCAGGAGAGTAAAACAAGGGGCAGACAGACATATCCCTGACTAGAAACCCAGCTCTGAGAGTTTACACCTGCATCAGTGTCATAAACAATGATGTTGGCTGGCCATCCTCACAGGATGTAAAATCATTGTAAAGCAATAGATTGAATGATGAACTGATTTGCATTCTAATGGATCTGTACTTCATTAGCATGGCTGTACACCAGTGATTCCCAACCACCCCAGGGGGTACTTCTGCAGTTGCCAGGGGGTACGTGAAAAGACTGCAGAGTAACTAACTAATTAAAAACATTTTAAATTACAATAAAACATTTTATATATATTTTTGGGAGCTTTTTGCCCTTATTGGATAGGACAGCTGAGGATAGACAGATGTAGATGCAGGTCTGACAGGACAGTGGGAGTATGTCTGAACAAAAGGTTGAGAAGCACTGCTGAAATATATCCCAGCATGTGTGGTCCTTGTGCACTATACAACACAAGCTATGATTTAAGCTTCAAACTGCTATATCAAATGGTAAATGGTAAATGGTAAAGCATAAAGCATATTGCCAAAGTTTGTAGAGTTTTGGTGTACAGTTCTATTATTGCTTTTTGTTTATTCATGTATTCATTCACGTATGCTGGGAAATATGCATGCAGTGTGTATATCAAAGAAATATCAATATATTGTTTATATTGTATTGTTTTGTAGGTTGTATAAGGGGGACAAATATCAATCCACCTTACATATAAATATGTATATAAACAAAGAATCATGGGGCAAACAAGATGATGCAAATACAAAAAGATACATAAGTTGAAATAAACTGTGAAAGAACCTTCCATTAAAGCTGCAGTAGGTAACTTTTATAGCTCTATAAATAAACTATAACTTGTGAAGGTGGATGTGGTGCATGGTTCCCTACCTTGTACAGTCTCTCCTCAGGGATCTGCTCTCTGACAGGGGCGTAGTCCTGCTGTAGGTCCAATACAAATCCCAGCAGGCCACACTCCGTCTTGTTGCCCACTTGCTTAGCCAGACCCCCCTCCACATCAGGCGGCTGATAGGGAGTAAGATTGAAGCAAGTTGGTAGATTAGAGAGGGTCGTGATAAAGTCAGGGAGGAGGACAGAGAGGGAGACAGAATATGAAAAAAGGATGACATTAAAACAAAGGCACGAGCATTGACTGACATTAACAAAGGACTATGGAGGGTTAAAGCCAGTTAAAACCAGAAAATTACTTTCTGCAAAACAGTGGCATCTCTGTCTGTGCATGACTCACTAAGATCTTGGAGGTGTAGGCACTGTTGATAGCAATAGCATTGACTAATAGATCCAGTGTCCGGGGGTTGATCTGTCCAGGGTCCGGGATCACACGGTGGGGCACGTCACCTGGGCAACAACAGTCTAACTTTAATACACATAAGTTATAATCTCTGTACATTCAGCCTTCATGCAGCCTATCTCCATCTGCTCTCTGTTACCTTTGTCATAAATCAGGTAAAGTGAATAGCCTTTGATACTGATGAGATCAATATATATTTGTTACTGCTGTTTACATTCCTCCAGATGCAAATTCAAAAATTGTACTAGAAAATTATTACTTTCTGTGTGTATACATCTTTAGGTACATATGTATATAAATAACTGTATATATATGTTTTATTTTACAAATTCCTTATATATTTTTTATAAAATGTGTTTTAAAGTATTTCAGTTTTGTGGAAGAAACATGGAAAGCGGGAGACACATTGAGAATAACACTACTAAGTAGCATATGACTGAATTGGATCCTGTGCCAATGGAGAGGGATTCTCTACAATTAATAAAGACTGAACCTCAACAATGAAAATATTCATGATAATGCCACAATTTTATTGTATGGTTAAACTTTTTAAGGCACACTATGTGTGCCACAGCACCCACTTTGGCAACCACTGATCTAATCATAGTAAAGTAAAAATTGGGCCACATGATTACCTTATGACTCTTCTTATGCTGCCATTTTTCTTAACAATCTTAGCATTACATTGTGTTTTCATTATGGGGGATCACAGACAGCACAAGTTGTTTTTGACTCACCTATGTAACTCTGCACCACAGTCATGCGATTGGTGGTGAGGGTGCCGGTCTTGTCGGAGCAGATGGCTGTTGCGTTGCCCATGGTCTCGCACGCATCCAGGTGGCGTACAAGGTTGTTGTCCTTCATCATTTTCTACATATGAGATAGCGACGGAGAACAGAGGGATGTTTAAGGGGGTGGTGTGAATGATAATGGATAGAGGAAGGGCAGAGGAAAGAGGAAGAGCAATTGATTGACGGAAGGAAGGAGAGAAGGAGATGGAGAAAAATCACTAACTGTTCATTGAATAAAAATTCCAGGGCAGATAAAATAGGTTTTATTTAAGATATTTTTGAAGAAAATATTGCAGTGCATATAACTTGTGCAAAGGCTGACATTGACCTTGTGAGAGTAAATAATGGTAATTAATGTAGGCTAAAATGGTGCAACCAGCCGCTTACTTACAAAACAAACAGGAAAATTACTTTGTGATATACAATATATTTTCATTGAAGACTGAAAATTAAAATTATGAAAATGGATTCATAAATTACTCCATACAGTACTTCCACTCAAATCAGTGAGCACACTTTCAAGATTCTGACACTGAAGAATCTAAATGACATTTGTTTAGTAACTGATTCAGGCAAGATTTCAGTTCTATCACATCTAAGTGCTGCTTTTGACACAATTGACCATGTAATACTACTGGACAGACTAGATTGGGCCCTCAGGCACAGTACTACAGATTTAAATCTTATCTTCAACAGGAACTATTTTGTCATAATTGGTAATTATGCATCTGAGCAGAGTTCTCCAAGGCTCAATCCTTGGGTCCTCTTCTATTAACATTTACATGCGTTGTTTAGGTCTCTTATTAAAAACACTATACTTAGTATACAAAACAACAACATCAACTATCATAATTACAACACCCAAATTAACCTTGCCTTGTCACTAAGCGACTACAGTCCCACATATTCTCTCTGCAAGATACTGATTATATTACATAAGTTATAAGTTAATTATTTAATTATTACATGCCTCCTTCGCCAGTATTTACTCCTTAACCATTGTCCCAGTGTGGTCTTTGTGCACATTGTTACATTAGTTAAGCTCCTACATTACTTTTTGCTAAACATTCATTAAACTGGAAGTGTGGGTCTACCTTGACAGAGTAAGCCAGAGAGATGGTGACAGCGAGAGGTAAGCCCTCTGGGACAGCCACTACCAACACAGTGACTCCAATGATGAAGAACTTGACAAAGTACTGGACGTAGACCGGAGTACACTCTGGCAACCATGTGTGACCTGCAACAACAAACCATACTACATATTAAGACCCAACAACTAGTCCACTTTAAAGAGTGAGTCATACTCAGCAGAGTGGTAAACAAGTGATAGGGGTGCATTCTGAGATAGTGTGTGTGTTTGTTGGGTAGCTATATACACACACAGACCTTCAACGACAAACGTGTTGATGACAAAATACAGCACCAGGATGATGACGGTGATGGCCGACATCACCAAACCTGTGGGGAAATTCAAAGAAGGGAATATTTACCAGTGTGTCACTTTGTTCAGTCTGTTCTGACTTTTTCAATAATTTTTTATTTCATGTCTCAACCATGCAGTGCTTCATCATTTACTTCACTTCTTTACCTGTGCAAGCACATTTTACCAAAGTTTGTAGCACTTGATCAAGCGCATAATCTTTTACACGTCTGTCTGTGTAGTAATAAAACAAATAATTCTAACTATGACTATTTGTACCTTATGTGCAAAGTTTCACACAACTCCCACAATTCATTTCTTGTATTCATAAAGAACTTGTGCTTATGCTGTACATAATTGCTACAAAAACTCTGTGGGACCGAACTACCGAACCTACAAATTTTTAGTGTAGAAAGTTCCTAAACGACAGCTGAAAAAGTGTGCCCAATAGATATGACAGTTCTTTACCGGCTTTGCCAATTTGAACAGCCAGTTTGGTGAGCTTGCCCTGCAACACACTCTTCTCTTTCTTCGGAACATTGGTCTTCTTCTTCTCTCTGTCCTCTACCTCCCCTCCCTCTGCACTCTTCAGCGGTTGCATCTCCATGGCAACACCCCCATCCTGCTTCTTGGCTGAAACACACACACAAAATACACTCTTTTTAGCAATGCACCTGCAGATGAAGTAAGCGCATCGGACATCCAAACCAAGCTTTACACATACACACATGCACATGTCATGAGCTTTTACCTTTGTTCTGATTGTTCTCCACAGCTGCATCAGGCTGTTTTCCTGAGAGAAAGGGAGGGTGGGTTAGACAGAGGTACATATAAAGATATGGGAACAAAAATATATTCATAGTAACCAATAGTTCATATTTTTGATCGTACAACAGCCAAAGACACACTTCCAGAAACAGAAAACGACAAAGAACAATACTAAAGGGAAGAGTAATAAAGGTACACACATCTTCAGACACTGGGTCAAGAGACTGAGAGACATTTTTATATGTATAAGTCCATCATAGGGCACTGTCACTTTCACTGCACCGTGTACTGGGGTCCATTCATTGGCTGAGGAAAGGAGCGGGGCAGGGCAGACAACTTTATGCTCACATACCATTGGTGACTGTGCTGTAACTGGCATCTGTAGAGATGAGCAACTGAGTACTGTCCTCTGTTTGGGGAATGTGTGAGGAAGAAAGGTTTTGGGGGCACATGAGAGGATTTGGCAAAAAGGGGAAACAAAAGAGAGCAAAAAGGGAAGAATAAAAAATGTGTTTGTACGCACGGCTATACTAGCAGTGTTTGTAGATATAGAATGAATGAAAAAAAAAAGAATATAACCTCAATCTCAAAATGAGAGGCAGATCAAAGTGAACAGCCCCATAGCAAACCCACATTGCATGAGGAAAAACTAACAAGTTATGGCATATGTAGAAGTCTTATGAATAATGTATTAGCTCCAGTAAATGACTGTCTCAATGATCCAGCCCACAGAGGCTGCTGCTCGGAGTGCAATACATCCTAGTGCACAACTAACACTTTGGATACAGAATGAGGACAACAAGCGATAAGTATTTTTTCATAAAGTAAGCATCATCAACTAATTTGTTGCTGTCCATTTTTCTGCATCACAGGATGCTGCAGATGTTTTCTCTTTTTCAAGATGACAACAATGCTACACAAATTCCCATGCAGAAGTGAGAACTGCAGTGGTAGAGGCATGGATGAGTGCACTGGTAATGATATCAACCTTAAGTGCTTCTGAGTAGCCTCTGTTGTTGTATGGAGCTCTGCTCTGACTGCAGGGCCCTTCCAAAACAAATTTGAGCATAGACTAATGCTTCATGCGTTGACCAACCAACACTCTTCCCTGAAACTCTCCAGCTCCCTCGCTCTCCCTTGCTTTTTCAATAATTGATTCAATCTGCAGCCTCTCTCTCTCAGATTAAGGGGGGAAGGAGAAACGGGGGAGAGCAAAGGGAAAGATAGGAAAGTGAAAGAGGGCACAGGCATGGGGTAAACAAGACACGAAGTGAGAGAAAAAGAGAGAGATGGGAAACAGGGAGTGGAGAGAGGGATGGAGAGGATGTGGGCTAAATTATCAATGAGGTTAAACTGGTGTGTTTCCTGTTGAAGCTCTTATCTGAAATCAGTTAGACACCCAACTAACTCTACACAATAGAAGCAAGGCAAGAAAGAGACACAAAACTACTACTATGACTGAGTCATTTGTAGTTTGTAGCCTCTTTGTTATCATTCTGTGTCTCTTCATGGTCACAATGATTCTCTTTATAGACATTTCGTGTCTCTTTGTGATTGTTTTGTATCCCTATGTGGTCATTTTCATCAATTTATGGTCTCTTTGTGGTTGTCCTGTGTTTTATGAGTCTTTCTGCAGTCATCTTTCATTTCTTTTTAGTTATTGAAACTAAAATTGAAATTGTGGTCGTTTTGCCTCTCTTTGTGGTTGTTTTGCATCTCTTTGTAGTTGTTTAGTGTTTGTTAGTTGTCATTTTTTTGTAGTTGTTTTGTGTCTGTGGTCATTTTGTGTCAATTTCACATCTATTTGAGCTTGCTATGTGTCTTTTTCTGGTCACTTTGTATCTCTTTGTGGTAGTTTGGAATCTCTTTGCAGTAATTTGATTGACATTCCAACAAGAAATATTAATGGTCACTTCAAGCAGCGGCTGTACCCCTGAACCCATGGGTGCCTGGGCCTGTGCCCAGTAGGCAGTGTTAGTAATCCATCCGTGTGTGAGTACATGTTCATTGACTTGAGAGCAGTTTGAAGTATTCATCCATGGAGATAGTGATGGATGAGAGAGACTGTCGTCTTTCCTGGGTTTTGTCAGAATCTTTACTTCCTTTACTTTGCACATTTCAATAACAAAACTATCTGCTTTTTTGCATCACTAAATATTCTGTTCATCTTACTATAATGGCAAAATATTATATCTAAATCTTTCTCTTATTCCAGTCCAAAACACCATTTTCCTGTAACTTTAGTGTCTTTCCACTAATTTCCTCTCTTTCACTTACCTTTCTTCTCCTTCCCATCTTCCTCAATCTCTCCAGCACCCAACAAGGTGAAGATGATGCCCGTCTGCGAGTTGACACCTACAGCTGTCACCAGCATCCTGCCCGAGCCCTCCATCACATGGGTACCTTAACGTCCAAACAGATTATTGGTTTAGATTCTATCAAGAGACCAGTGCTGTTTGTAAAGCGGTCACAGTTATGAAACAACAACTTGTGATCTTGCAAATGTTTGTAAGGTTTTTTCTCAATGTGAAAAAAGTCATTTACACAGAATCCTTTGAAAGATGCTAAAATGCTCCGTACAGTTGAGGGTAACTAAGAAAGAAAGACAGAAATAACTGTCCCCTAAAGTTCTGCCTAGCCAATAACTAAACTCAGTTAAAGTTTTTAAAAATTTAAGAAAGCATACATTTGAACACTTTTCATGATTTTAATTACAGTGTTTCTATGATTGACTTATTGATTGAAGTGTCCCGCACCAAATGGTGGAACAACCACGACAATCACGTGACAAATTCAAGATTACAAAAGGTCCACTTAACATTACAAAAATTTTTTTTAATGAAGGATACAAAGTACTCTGTCTTAACCAGCATACCTGTTCTATAAATCTCACTATTTGACATTATCATGTGCATTTATAGACATGGGCAGCATTTATATTTATATGAACTATTATGGCATTAAAAAAGTTGTCTTATGTACAAATATTTGCAAGGAAGGAGCATCATTGAGAGACATATATCATATAACACCTTAGAGTAATGTAGTTTGTGTAGCATTAAATCCTTTTACTTTATCTACCCCTTGTACATACAGGACAACATTTTGCCTAAAAGGCTACAACTAATTTGAACCAAGAATTGTCTGACAGAGCCCCAACAAAACTTTAAAATTTTCAGCTTAACTAAAGTAGTATTTATTCCACTGCAAATTGTATTTTATTTTATTGCAGGTGTTTCTGTTATTTTTCTACTCAACCTAACTCAGAAAGTTGCAGCGATATACCATGGTAAGAAAACTGACGGTTATCCAACCAAGAACATTTGCTTATCTACAGTATTGAACATGCTAGTGTTGAAATGTTTTTTAATTCTACCCTATTAGTTTGTATTAGCGTTAAAAAAATATACAGGACATACGTTTTTAGGAAATTATAATAAAGCTCTTGTTCAACCAAAAAAACCCTTCTGTCTCATTCCTTTAAGGGACATTGTAACTGGGGCTGTGTAATGGCAAGAATCTGATGATACGATACGTATTACGATACATGGGTTACAATTCAATACATTGCTATATATTGCGATACTGTAAGCAAGGGAAACTAGAAACAAAAAATTTACATATATAAACAGACATTATATATTTAGATATTACTTTAAAAGTTCCCATTCTGTTGTATTCTGTATGCCAGTTTTTAATTTCTCAAGTAGTTTATAAAAGACAACCATTGTCCCGCTTATCTTTTGCAGGGTCGCGGGGGTGAGAGGCAGGGTATACCCTGGATAGGTCACCAGTCAATCACGAGCACAGACAGACAAACTCAATCTTCACGCTCACATTGACCCTTTAGACAATTCTGAGTCACCAGTTAACCTAACCTGCATGTCTTTGGACTGTGGGAGGAAGTATGTGGAGAAAAACTACACAGGCAAAGCGAAAACATGCACACTACACACAGAAAGGCCCCAGCCAGCCAGGCCGCCGCTTCGAACCCAGATATTTGTGACAGTGATGGTGTGCAGATAACCACTGCTTTACCATGCCTCCAGAGCAAAGACCAAAATGTGAAAACAAACCTGAGAGCAGCATGGGGTCCTTATCCACAGACTTGCGTACGTGGTCAGACTCTCCTGTGAGAGAGCTCTCATCTATCTTCAGGTCGTTGGCTTGGACCAAGATACCATCAGCTGGCAGCAGGTCCCCTGAACACAGACGTGCACAGATCAGTGTTTGATTCACCTTGTAGTTTCTGCCCTTTTCTGGTTAGGGACATGTCAATGCATGGGGGCCTAACAGGGACATTTATCTATCAGTATCAACATAACTACATGTTACAGAAACAAGCAGTACAGGTATAACAGTCAACACTGTGGGAAAATAAGCTTATCAAAGAGTTAGATGAGAGAATCGATACCACTCTCATGTCTGTGCACTTAATGTTAATTAATTAATTTTTTATGTTAATTAATTAATTTTTAATCTGTTTGTGCACAGATTAAAAATAGTTTATTGGTAAAATGTAGAGGTTTTAGTAAGCTGATTTTTGTTACCTTTGGACAGAATTAGCCTAGCTGTTTCCCCCTGCTTCCAGTCATTATGCTAAGATAATCGTCTGCTGGCTCTAGTTTAATATTTAGCGCACACACGAGAGAGGTATTGACCTTCTGATCTTTCTCCCAGCAACAAAGCAAATAGGCCTATTTCCCAAAATGTCAAACCATTTTTTTAGGACATGTAGAAAGTATGGTATTACAGGGCAGGCAGGAACTTTACAGTTTCCTGTTTGAAAAAGAGTTGACTTAATATTTTCTTCCTACACATATAGGCTAACCCCAGTTTTACAATTTTTACTTAATGGTGAGTAATCGAATGAATGTCCAACCATAGACTGTAAAATTAAGCCGTTGTGAAGCTCAGTGTGGTCCTCTCTGGCCATCGCCATTCGGCAGTCTTGGTTAAACCAAAAATGAGAGGTGGAGCTGTGGCAGGCTTTATGGAGATTGACTCACTTATGGAGCCAGCCTCAAGTGGCCATGTAAGAAACTGCAATCTTTGTTACTACCGTGTTGGCTTACACATAGGCTGCAGCTTGTTAAAAACACTCTCAGTTCACTTTAAGAAATGTAATTTATGTTGGTAGAGTTTCTGTTGGAGACAATTGTTAAAATATTCATACAAACATATTCCTCATGATTATCATTTGCAGTAAGTTAGTAACTTTATAGATTTGCTTTCTCTTGAGTATTCCACTGCTGGTCAGAAAAACTCAGATCAGTTTTGCTTCTTGTAGCTTGTTATGGGCATATGTTATTTGTTGGTATTAAACAGGGTGTACAAATAATCATTCAATTTGAAAAAAGAGAGTTACTGTTCTTTTTATACAGTAAGCATGTGATGGTCTTTTTACCATATTTGACCTGGGCCATGTCCCCCACCACCATGTCAGCCACAGGGATCTGGATGACGTTTCCTTTCCGCACAACCGTGAACTTCTGTTCTTGCTCAATCCGACTCTGTAGACCACGGAATTGCTTCTCTTTGGACCAGTCATTAAAAGCCGTAACCAAGACGACACACACGACTGACAGCAGGATGGCTGCGCCTTCAATCCAGCCGGTGTCAGCCTCCTCTTCATCCTCTCCCCCCGACACGTCCCCACATGCTGAAGAAAGGCGAATGGAGGGGTGGTTGGTTAGATATTTTCTTAGCCTCTCATGTTAACATGCTATTATGACCAATTAATCAAATAGCATTTAACATGCCTAGGGTTAGGGTTCACTGCAGGATTTTTGCAGGTTAAATTACTTTTTAAGACCACTATGAAAGTTATGTGTATACTGCCAAAAAAGGGTATGAAGGATATGAAGGAAAATTGGTATTGATTCAATGTATGTTTCATTTTGTTGTTACAGTATGATCAATACAAATGTTTCCCAACAACACATTTAAAAGCAAGAGTGAAAAATTTTACCTGTCAAAATAATATTTATGACATTTTAAGCCCTAAAATTCAAATTATTAGATTTTAGACTTAGACCCCACGGACACCCTGCAATATTTTTCTCTTAAGTTATTGAATGTAACATGAAAAGCAAAATGAAAGGGACGATCTGTGATTCAGATGTAAATAAATGGGTCACCCACCACCAAAACGGACAGATGACAGATGTCAAAACTCCTGATAGTTTTTATTTATTTATTTTATGGTGAGCCACAGTAAGACAATTAGGTATGAAACAAACAATATATTGAGGTTTAAAACTGCAGTGGCTGTGGCCTTTGGCTAAAGTTAGTGTTTGTTATCATTTATTAACATTTACAAATTAAAAATAAAGTTGATGACTACAAATGCTTATATTCCACCATTCTACTTACAGAAAATAATGTGAGGAAAGTTTGTGTGCTGTTGTTATCTAGGTTGCACTTTGAGGTTTCAGACCTAACCACAGTGTCCTCCATCCTTTTGTTTTGCCCACTTCCTGTATACCTGTGGTAAACAGACCTAGAAAGCTAATGGTAATATTAATCCCTTTTGCTTTTTGTCTCTTCAGTGTTTGTTGTAGTGGTATGCTTTCATTTTGTGCAATTTTCATGTTTGAACCATGAAAACAACGGAGATGATTAGATTTTCTGATTTACCCAAACAAGAGAATGAACAGAAACAAAACTATAAAAAAACTTTAATCGATTAATTAACACCATCTACAGAATCTAAGATAATAATCACACTTTAAAGTCCATAACAGTTAAAAATATGTTTTTCTTCCTACAGTGTGATGTTTGATCTTCGCTTTTGCAAAAATAACGTATCAGAAACACATTATTGTTCCAAGCAGACTATTTGTATACATGTCTTGTAGTCAGTAGGTACTTTTATAAAAATCATTTTTGGCATTTTGGCATTTTGAAAAATTCACTGGGCCTGAATGAAAACAACCAAACAAAGGTGAGAAAGATAGTTGATTTTTGAGTCTCATTCCCAGGGTGTCAAATACAGAACCTGGGAATGAGACTCAACAATCAACTATCTATCTTCAAGTTTCCAACCCAAACCATCTTTCTATCTTTCTGGCCTGCCTGATGTTGTTTTTCGATTCAGGCCCGTGGATTCTTACAAATACTATTAGGAGCACTAGAAGGAGCCAGAGGAACCTGATTTTTTCACAGTTTATCCGTCTCATGTACTACTGTCAGGATATAGTGAAAGTTTCAGCAAATATAACAAAAAGGTATTTTTAGAAAGGTTAGCTACTGCAGCTTTAATACATGTCTGGAGGGGATCTTTTTAAGTACTTTGATTCTTAAATTTCATTTGACAATCAATATTTTTTTAATCGTGTAAGCCAGATACTGGCATTTGAACGGGGATTCAGCATGAGAATGCAATGTCTGCCCCAATGAATCACAAGCTTTGAAAAACCTGGTTCTTCTCTCTCTTGGCTCTCTGCATTGATGTGTGCTACAGGAAGACTTGAAAGGGAGATTGCAGATATTTTGACATGTAACTCCCTCAACCTTCTTCCCACTGCACTTTCCTCACTTTACTTACCCATGAACCTATCTCTAAAGCGAGACTATCTAACTTATCTAACTAAAAATGCAATAATACATTCCCCCTCTGACAATGAAAAGTAATGAAAGCAGCAGAAGTGTTGCTCAATTAAATACACTCAGGGACTTTCCTGCTACAGTATTACTTGGTCTGGTGCTCAACCTAGCTTATGGTGTTAGCCAATATTGGCAAACTTTAGATAACTGACATTACTAAATAGCTGACTCTTTACTTGTGCTACTGTCACACTACGGTGAAGCATTTACCATTCACCCAGTATTGCCAAATCAAAAGTTAATGAGCAGTAAAATCCATTTTTCAATTAAATACACAGGGATTTTGTATGGATTTTTTTAGTGCCAATACAAATTGAATCTCAATTTATTAGCTGAAATGTTCAAACTGAATAGTGTGTGCAAAATTTGAGATTGAGTCTTGTGGTTTCAAATTTTAAATTAATTCATATTGCCCGTATTGAATGTGAGTTTTTCTATTCTAGTCCCCCAGATGAGTGCCTCTAAGTTGAAACTGAATTAGAAAATTGTATTTGAAAACGGAATTCCAAACTGAATTTGGAACTCCTCCCAAATTGAACTAATACTCGCAAGTTGGAAGCAATGCGAGTTAAATTCAATTTCAGACCATCAGTGAAATACAATTTCAAATTTTGCATACAATATTGAGTTCAAATTTAGATTCACTTTGTGTTGGCACTAAAATAACTTATTAATAAATTGTTGCTACTTGGTCTGGTATGACCACAAACACTAACCTTAGCAGAACTGATAGTCATTGCTGTGTAACATTACTGAGGCAGTTTGCTGATTTTATGACTCTTGAGTGTGAAAGGTCCTTCTTGTAAATGGTAGTTTGACTAAATGATCTTAACTCAAGTTCCAATTACTAGCTTTTTAGCAGTATCTTACAGTCATGAAGAGCCAAAGCTGTTTTTCAACCCATAAATTGACCCTACCTTCCTCCATCCTTCCAAAATGGTAAATGGTAAATGGTAAATGGACCTATACTTGTATAGCGCCTTTCTAAAAGCGCTTTTACACTACAAAACCAATCTCCCCCTTCTGCCCCTGTCCTTACATTCACTTTCCTTTCCAGGGGGCTGGTAGAAAGAGAGGCCGAGGGAGATGATGGCAGCGGCCTCCAAGATGATGAGTGTGACGTCCTGTAAGGCCTCCCACACAAGCTCCAGGAAAGTCTTGGCCTTCTTCGGGGGGATGAAGTTTTGGCCGAATGTTTGGCCCCGACGCTCAATGTCTACTGGGTCCCCACTGAGACCTGACAAATGGAGACGGAGGAAGAGACAGAGAGAGAAAGAGGTTAAAATAAGAATGGTTGAGATGTTAGCAAATATGGCTACATATTGGCAATAGGGACGGGACAATATACAACATTATCGTGTATTGCCATAAAAAGATTCATAGTGAATTTCTCCCATTTTTCTCCCAGTAAACAAGGGGACATAGGGGAGCCTGCATCTTTTCAGTCATTCCAAAATCCTAAGCCTATCACCCATTGTATTCTCCCCCACAAAAAGAGTTCAACTGAATGTGAGGAAACAGTATAGATTCCAAACTAAAGAACTGTCTACACAGTGTCTTTGAGAATCGGAAAAATATCGGATACAGGATACAAAAACAAACAAACAAAAGGATACAAAAAAGGTGAATGTGTTCCATTTTTCTTACTTAGCAGAGGACATATGTGTGATGCTAAAATCTTCTCTTTTCTAAGGTTACATTGTTCCGTGTCTTATAGAATATGTAAAAAGCATCAGGTCACGTTACTTTAATATTGTGATACTTGGATTAGATTACTGACTACATTTTTAAACAGGTAATTAGAAATTGTATTGTAGCATTTTTTTAAAGTATCCTTCCCAACCCTGGCATATCGAAATTTTCTTTATCTGCAATTGTCTTTCTGTAAAATGTATATCACTTAAAGAAAAATTCACATGCCATCTGCACACACAGTAGCACATTCACCCTGCAAATCACTGCTTCATGCTGCTTTACTTAAACAGATTTATTTCATTTGAGTGAGAATTCTGTAAATCAGTAGCCATTTGAAGTGTTCCAGGTTCACTTTATTACTTTTTTCTTTTTTACTTTTTATTTGTGCCATACAATTCATACATTCTATCAGTTAGTGAATAGTCATCTCTGCGTTTTTTTGTTATTTAGCTCTACATGTAAATTTCATGAAACCAAAAACCAACAACAGACCACAGAAATAACAAACAATCAAAAAACCATACATAACAATGTTTTGTTTTAAGTTTTTTTATATGGCTAGTATCCATGCTGACCATACAGTATCCATAAAAAACATTTTTTTTGCTGAATCTTTTGTGACCTTTCCATAATAAATAACTCATTCGCCTTTTGTTGGCGCTGTCTTATGTTTGGTGGCAACCCAGGTTCACTTTCATTCATAAAAGTGTAGATTAAGTTCCATATAGCACTCTTTAGCAGGTAGTAGTTTATCACTAGGACACATGCAGACAGTAGACTCTGCTATACAAGTGCAAAATCAGCACAAATACCCCCCCACAAAAAAGGCCAAAACCTCCTAGACAATTTTCCACTAAAAACACATAAAACGCAGTAAAAAACAACAAATAGTGGCTGCCAACTCCAAGTTTACTTTCCTCCCTCCCAACTCTCTCTCATCTCCAGCCTCAACTCAACATCTCCACCCTCATCTTCCTCTTTCCTTCAACCTCAGCCCCAAGTGATTCTGTTTCCATGGTGACCAGGATATCAGGTCCAGGACTTCCTGTCTCTAACAGGTTTCTGCCCAGCAACAGGTGATGTCATTACTCCAGTGTGCTGGGTTTGGAGCACAGCTTTTTTTTTTATTGGCTGTTGTGGAGGGGGGAACAGCAATTTGTATGCTGTGGTTGGACAAAATCTGTGACTGTCTTTGCGTTGGTTTGCCTGTGTGTGTGTGTGTGTGAGTGACATCCTGGTCCAATGTGCTTGCTGCAGGGAGTCATGTAGCTCCCGGCGTTGCTCAAGAGTTGTGTAGCAATACGACACTCAACAGGGTTCAGGCCAAGGCAAGGCAGAGAGAGACAGGGAGAGAGAGGGAACAGGTGACCTTATGCTGAGTAATCGTAGTGAGCTACATCCTCCTTCCATTAGTCCATCCCTCCCTCTCTCCCCCTTCTTACCCATCCCTCCGTTCTCCCCTTCTTCCTCCACATCCTCTTCCACAGCCTCTCTCGTTGGCTCTCTCCTCTATTCCTCCCTCTCTCAATCTCCCCTTGATGTGTCCTTGACAATGCGGCAAGCTGTTCTAGCTTTCCTTCCTCACCCCTCACCCCCCCCCCCCCCCCCCCCTCGCCCCGCCCACACAGCCTTTGTTTTTCACTCCCTCTTTCTTCTTGTGCTCATTGTTTCACTTCTCACTTCGTCCTTCTGTCCTTTTTCATGTGTCGTATAAGGTAAGGGCAGTCTCATACTGCAGCTTGCTGGTAGAACAAATGGTTTATTCTGTTTTCATAGTGTATCTGGGTGTAATTTGTTGTGTCTGTGGATGTGGGTAGTGTTTGGTGATTATGAGATGAAGAGGGGAAGATAGAGAGACAGAGACAGAGACAGGAGACAGAGATCTGGAGTGTGTAAATAGATCCGGTTTAACCACGTCGTACTGTATATTAATGGTATTTACAGATGATCCTTCTTATGCTAGATCAACTATGCATTGGCATATATTGTTGGAATACGTGTGTGGTTGATCGGGTTTTATCCTAGTATTGGCCATTATAGACTTGGGGTGTGTGTTCATTAACACATGATATGGGAATATTTTGTTTGTATATTTACTGTTGGCCAAAATTATGCACTTTATTTTCGGCTCCCCATGGTATTTCTCCGTGCTAATATATTTCCCATCTTTATTCAATTCGTGATATCTGGTTCTTCGGGTGCTCCTAATTCATTTGTTCGCTCCTTCTTGTGGATATTGTAATTGATAATAAGCAGAGGCAGCAGTCTTTTGTTTGTACTGGTCAAATTGCCTCAGCAGATCTGGATCAGGAAAATATCTAAGCCGTGCAACGTTTTGGGAATCCATGATCAATCACAAGT